TTGATTTTGTTTTTAATTTTGTCCTGGAGACCTAAGAACAAGCATGATATAATGTCTATTGAGCCTTGTTTTCAGATTTTACAATTTTTTAAAAGTTCATGTGCTTTATATATAACAAGCATTGCTCAACCATTACCACTATACCTGCTTTAAAAAGTAAATTTAAAAGGAAAAGAGTCTCAGGTTTCTGTAAGCCTTTATTTAATTTATAGTCATAGTTTCGATTCTTTTTCGCTCTACCATTAAAAAACAATATTACCTAAACAATAATCCATAAGCTTCTATTAAGCACTTCTTGTATCCCTAGCACAAAGTGTTTACAGAGCACTTATTTAAATTAACAATTAACAAACCCAGAATATCTGGGGATGTTTACTATGTATCAATAACCATGCAGTCAAAATTTCTCAAGAAATTATATAAATTCTACAAAGATCTTAATTTCTTGCCGCAGGGACAGAGGAGAACAGGGGGCCTTAAGTAGATAAATGTTCCTCCTGGAAGAGCAAAGGAGCTGTTAGTAGAGACCTCCCTGATGGAGAACCACCACTGTAGCTCTTCCTCTTAATGCCCAAAGGCTCCCTCTTGGCCGGGATGTCGCCATTTTTCAATTCTTACTCTAACTTCACAACATCCTTTGTAGGTACTAGTAGCATTCATTTTGATGAATACCTATGGCGTCTCTAGAAAAGATAGAGATGTCTAGTAGAGTAAGTATTAGTTTGGGAGCAAGAAAATGAGTAAAACATCACTAGGAAGATAGATAAAGATGTGGGCGGTATTGGCCAGCTGCTCACCAGTCCAGTTTTCTCCTGGGCACACAGATGAACAGAATTTCCAAGTCTTCCTCATCCCTGTGATTGAGGTCTGGGTGATGGAAAGTGAGTGGAGGTGAAATGTACCAGGTCCAGGGTGGGCCCATAGGCACTTCCCATGGATGGTCCTCCTTTCTTTCTCTACTGGCTGGGCGTAGAGGACTCTCAGGCCCTAGGTTTCCACAGATGGAAGGAGCCTCGGTCCCTGGATTACCTCGTGAACTCCCCTGCCAGTCAGGGAAATAATTTGAACCTCCATCTGAAGGAGAATTGAATTGTGTCTATTCACTGAATTTTGGAGGATTTTGTCAGTTACAGCAGGTAGCATTATATTGATTAAGGGTAGATTAAGTATGTCTCATAGTGTCCAAATAATCTCAAGCCAGAGGTGGTATGATTTAAGTCTTGTATTCTGTAACATAGAGCTGTGGGTGGGTGGGCATTGAAACAAGCCTGCAGGAGTTCAAATCACAACTCCACCATTCTTTTACTCTGCCTTTCTCACTAGTCAAATAAGCATACTAGTATTTCCTCATGGGGTCCTTGTGAGAATACATTTGTATAAAGTATTAAGTACATAATGGGAACATAATATGCACAATATAAGTCTTAGTTATCAATGTTATTATTACTATTGATGTTACTATTATTTATGACTAGACTTATTTTTTTAAAATAAGACAAATGAAACATTTAATCTGCAAGTTAAAAGCATTGTAATAATAGATAGCAGGTGTGGCAATTCGACTTGTCAAACATCAGTTGTTTTTTAGTATTGAAGCCTAGGCTGATGAAATTATTACTCAACATTGCTAAAATATTTATACAACCCCAGTCCCTTGAGAACAAAAATGGTAATAATGCCTCAAAACCACTATAGTATTACAGTGGTTTGTGTTGCTGGTGATGGAATTAATAGTTCACTTTGAAGGCTCACTTTAAATTCCAATTTAACTTTAAAAAGAAAAAAAAAGTTCTTCTAAAAACATATGAGATAATATTATAAGGGTTTTGGGGAAAATACACTAATGATACCCGTAACATTTTTTTGTCTTTTTAAAAATACTTGAAGAAAATCTAATTGATATTCACAATGACGTTCTGAGATCTGATGCCTGCATTTCCCTTGTATTACTTTAGTTGTAGAGCTAAACTGAAATGTTAGAAAATGCATTTTGCCATCTGGGGATGTCTCCTTCAGAGTGATGGGTTAATGTCTTTAGTAGTTGTTTTTGAAACGTTGGAAGGACAGTTAAATCAGGGATGCACATTTGAACTCACTGGATCCCAAGACTCCTGTTATCCGTGTGTTCTAACCTTGTGATACAAGGTAAACCAGTGTCCCTGACAACGTCTGTCTCTAGAAGCTGAAGGAGCATATACTTCGTTGGATTCTTCTCTCAAAAGTGGTGTAGTCATAGGAGCTTGGAATTGAAAGAAACTTTAAATGTCATTCCTAACACACATTTCTGTCCTCATTTGTATCATAAAAATAAAAGCCTTGACAAATTGGCTAAAATGTATAACTCTCTCAGGAGCAATTCTTTCACATAGAAATATACAGCAACTTCACATAAAACGCATTGCTTTTGACTTATGGCTTCTGTTTCTAAGTGGAATCTGTTGAATGATGGGCATCTTTATTTTCCCTGAGAAGAAAAACTGCAGGAACCATTTAGTACATGAGGCATGCGTGCCAGGAGACTGCCCTGAATCAGTTGTTCTAAACCCATTTCAGAATACGGCTTAGACTCTCTCCTCGCCCCCTGCTCCATCAGCGTTTATGGAGCCTGTCCAAAGTGTCTTTTTTTTTTTTTTTGCCTTGAATTGTGTACTAAGATTTTTTGTTATCTGTTTACAGTGTTGAATCTCTCTGTATGATTTCATTGCATCCTCAAAAACTGCTTCTCATACATGCCTTCCTATCACTCATAAAGGTCTTTGGTCCTTAAATCTGATTGTTTTCTTGTTGAGTTTTCAGTGTTCTTTGTATATTTTGGATTACAGTCCTTTATCAGACGTGTCTTTAGCAATTCTCTTCTCCCAGTCTGTGGCTTATCTTCTTTCCGTTTTTAAGACCAGCTAGTTTTGTAGAAAACGAGAAACTAGTCTTGAGCAGCAACTGTGCGGAGAGCATGCCCTGGGTGGTGTGCGGGGAAACGTGGAAGGATCTGCTTTGCTGCCTCTCAGTGTAGCTTGAAGGAAAGTGCATGTTAACATGAGAAGAAAGGAGAGAGCAACGGAGGTGTTTACTTCTGTGTCAAATGCCATAGTCCAGTCGTGATGAGCTCACAGTTTAGCAAAGGATTGAAGATGGACTGAGGCACAAGTGGGGATCTTTGTAGAAATGGAACTTAATCTGATTGGCCCAGTGAGAGAGGCAAGAAATGAAACTCCACTTGAGAAACAGAATTCAGAGTTTTTATCATTTTAGTTTACATTGTAGAGGGTCATTTAGTTTATGTGGATTATGCTTGAGATTTGGAGCCTGAATATTCTCAAATACGTTAAGGATGGGCTTTGTTTACATGAAGAGACTAGGACTGTACATCCTTTGTGGTTCCAGCTGATTCGGTTTGTAGCAGATGCTGGTTTGTGTGTCTCATAGGGTGCGTAGAAAGAATAAATTAGCTTGGCATATTTGAATGCAGATAAGTGTATTATAACATTTTCTAAATATTGCACACTGCCATTTAAAAACACATTCTCTATGGTGTATTTTTCAAACCTATGGAATATTTGCCTTGTATTTTATTAGGTAATTCCACCTTCTTAATGTTTTGAACTATAAAAATATTCTGGTTTTTAAATTTTAACTTCATTTTGAGGTCAGTTGTCTATTCTAGTTTTACAATTTCTCCTCTCATTATACAGCTAAATTTGTGTGATCCTTAAAGCATGCTACACACATGTTAACATTTCACAGGGGCATTTTTTGAATACCGTTGATTTAAAATTTTCCATTGTCGAGGTCTTTCAGAAGGATTTGACTTTATGGATAGATTTGAGGAAATCTGCTGCTGTTCACAGATATTGTTATCTGTGTATCGGGAGCCACCTATGTATGTATCTAAATTAGTTTGTGTGAAATCTGCCTCATTACTCTGGCCTTATGATGATTGATTTCTGTGCCACTCCAGACTCAATTACATGTGACTAAACTCAGATTTAATCAACATAAAGGGGGGTGGGTGGGGAGGGGGGGTGTATTTTATCATACATCTGAGAAGTGTGTAGGTTAATTTCAAGCACAGTGGAATCTAGATGTTCATGGGAGGTTCTGCTTAGCTCCGCTGGACTCAGCTTGGTTTCAGTTACAGGCGAGTTAGGAGTGTTTTTTCACCTGGAGGAGAAGGTGAGGCACACGCAGAAGGCGGAGAAGGTTGGTGCCCTGGGATCCCCACGTCACGTGGTGGAAAGAAGAGCTGTTTCCCAAAGGAAAGGCTCTGGGCTGACAGAGAAGCAGGAGCCACACAGCAGGACCCAGGGTTGGTCTCGGGTGCAGTGATCAGCTGGGAACATTGTCTTGGTTGGCCTTCGTCATCTCTGACGCGTCAGGAAACACTAAGCGTGACACACCATTGGAGGGATCCTGGTTCCTTGTTTTCTAAACCAAAATCAGACGCCATCCTGAGACTCAGACAGTTTCTAAACTGATTTGAAAGCATGCTGTCAAAGACAAGCCTGGTCTCCACAATACTTTGTCTGGTCCTTGTTGGGCAAGCCAGTTGGGCATGTCGCCCCTGAGTGTCCTTATCCGTTTGAAGAATCCTAATGCAGTGAGGCCGGCTCAGCTCTGAGGTCATTTCCATCGCAAAGAACATGTGATTCAATGGTTCTCTAGCAAAATTGATTACAGGTTGGTTTTTCTTTGGAACAGGGACATTGAGTGGAAACAGCAATTGCTCTCAAAAAGCTAAATCCAATCAAACTTTGTGCCATGATGGGAATATCCCCTGGGCCTCTTGAGCACTTGAAATGTGACTGGTGTGACTGAGGAAATGCATTTTTAATGAAATTTTAATTAATTTTCATTTAAATTAGAATAGCCACAGCTCTAGAAATTATCAACTCATTTCAGCAAGACTTTCTTTGAGAAACAGCTCAAATTCAGAAATAAAACACTGTGTCTAAGTTTGGGCAGTGCATGTAAACCGGCCATCTCCTCCTCTCCTCTCTCTTCAGTCCCCTGCACACAGCTACTCCAGCTACGACTCCAGCAAACACGAGGGCGGAGAGCGAGGGGCCGAGGACCTGTCCCTGCACAGGGGGGACGAGGATGATGAGGACCACGAGGACCACGACGACGCCGAGAAGGTGGCCGAGACGGACGGCGTGGAGGCCGAGCGGCTGAAGGCTTTCAACGTGAGTCCCCCACCTCCCCGTGGCTCACTGCTCACCCTGCACTCTCATGTCGCCTGCTGGTAAATGTGGATACTTTAGAGATGTGTTTGTTTAATTTGCAGAGGCATTTATTAAAAGTACATGAGATACTCTTTGCCAACCAGACACCAGAATGGCTGTGTTTTGCTTAGGATGTTAAGGCCCGTGTGGCCGGACACGGGCGTGTTGTGTGAGTATCATGTAGACCCGGTGGGTGAAGAGTCCACAGCCCGCCACCAGCTCGCTCTTCTGCTTCCCAGCTTGTTAATGATGCATGACAAAGAGTCCGTGGTCTGTGTGCAGAGACCAGTGCACTGTGCAGAGTAGCAAAGTGGCGGCCGTATTGCATTTCTCTCTGACAGAGAATTTGATGGGGTGCTTCATTGTCGCAGTCTACTGTTGCCTCCTGTTTTTTTTTTTCTACACGATAGTCTATACTTTTCTGTCTGTCTGTGTCTGTCTGCCTTTCTCTCTCTCTCTCTCTTTTTCTCTCTCTCTTTTTTATCCAACCATTGAGAAAGTCTTTAAAGGGTGTTTGCTTAAAATCTCTGGCTTTCCATTGCAAAGTTCTCCAGTGAATACACCACAAAACAAGAGTATTTTTCCTATCCGTGATCAAGACAGGAAGCAAGGAACAGCCGAGAGCAGCCCTCCAAACCCTTCTCCTCTGTCTCCCTCTTGCCAACAGATGTTTGTCAGGCTGTTTGTAGATGAAAACTTGGACCGAATGGTCCCAATCTCTAAGCAGCCCAAAGAAAAGATCCAGGCTATCATTGACTCATGCAGGCGACAATTCCCTGAGTACCAAGAGCGTGCCAGAAAGCGCATCCGTACTTACCTCAAGTCCTGCAGGCGGATGAAAAGAAGTGGTTTTGAGATGGTGAGTTTTGACTGAAAACACAGCCCTAGATTCCATCCAAATCCCACATGTAAACCATGACACTATTTATTTTTTCATCCTAGTGTCTTTTTTTATTTTTTCCATGATGTCAGGTCACAGGGGTTCTGTTTGCTCGTTTGTTTCCCCCCTTCTCCTTTTCATCTTCCTGAGGTATATTTATCCCTTGTTTATTCAACCAGGAACGCCTCGTGAGCCCAGCGCTCTCAGGCCCACGTGGTGTCGTGCCATAGAAAATGAGGGTGCTATGAGTCAAATCCCATGAGAACCAGCATCTCATTCATGTCTGTTTGCTTTCTGTTACTACTGAAGTGGAGATGAGGATGAGCAAGCCTTGAGGCTTTCGATGGCCTGGGAGAAGGGCTTTCGGTGGAACGGGAGGAAATGGATGGGTCCATCTAAGGAACAGCGTTCTCGTGCCAACGCTTAACAGACAGCAAGCCTTGAAAGTAACCATCGGGGGTGGAGACCCTCATGTGAAAAATAAGGCTTTGTTGTACTCAGCGCATCTGTGTGCTTGTGGGCGAAAGCATGAGCTTTTATATTCAGCTGAGCTGTATACATGGGTGAGCTTATGCGGAGGTTAGATTACTTATGGGTGGAAATCAGATACTGTTTTTTTAACTTGGTTATAATTCACCTTGCTCTCTAAATGTACACCTGTAGATAGTGCATGCATCTGCAGTGTATTTTTTAATTTTTTAAAAGTAGGTGAGCAGAAATGTATTGGGAATTTTCTGAAATCTTTTTTCCTCTCTCGGCTCCATACAAGCCAAGACCGTGAGGGTTTGTGATCTGCGCCTCTCATTCTTCGGTGTGAGGGGCCAGGAGCTGGTGTGGATAGGAGAGGTTTCAGAGGATGTCGTAGATGAGAAATCCTTTTTTCAGACGTAAATGAAATGACACAATAACAAATCCACCGTCTGCTATCAAATTTTCTGCATTGGCTTGTGAAAATATCATTGATTTTTTTTTTAAAAAGGGACTGTTCTTATGGAGAAGCAGTGGTCTGCCTGGATGGGAAAGAGCATGGGTTTGGACCCCAGGGAGCCTGGCTTGGAGTTCCAGATTCACACTTTGTAGCTGGGTGGCTCCGGCAAGCCACCTCAACTGCCTGTGTCAGACACCTCTCTGCGGTGACACTGATTCCTAAGTTATAAAACTATGAGAATTCTACAAACTGTCGTACGTAAAGCTCTGGGAGCCATTTCTGACCCACAGTCATCACTAAATAAAATCTTAACTCTGAAAATATTATCAAATATTTTTTAATTCATCATCTGAAAAAAGCTCCCATTATACAAGCAAAAAATCCTCCATGTAAGTAGTTGCTTACTTCTCAGAATAACTACATTAAAATCAGAGGTGTGGTGCATCAGCCATTTTAAAATAAGAATGGCATAGCTGTGTCTGACCAAACTAAATTATTACAAGCAGAGGTGAAGTGGTATAAAAGAGGAGAGACACTTGGGAGAATAAAAGCTATTTTCCCCATTATTGAATTATTAAAAAGTTATTATCATTTACCCAATAGGAGAGAGATAACAGACAAAAAGGATATCTAAGCAGGTGTAAAAACCCAGAATGCTGGCATTGACATAGAATCTGGCTCAGGAGCACTAAGCAGCTGATGTGAAATTCCAATTAAACTGTGTCGCACTCAGAGTACAAAGTATTTAACATAGCTTCCTTTTTCAGTTACAATAAAGATAATATATATCAATATTTTTTATTTTAACAGCATCTGGCATTACTCTTCTTAATCATTTAATGTTTAGAGATTATTTTCTTTGGTAAAATTTATTATTTTTCATAGTATAAATGTTTCATTAATCATTATTTCAGAGAAGAAATAATTGTCATGGAGAACTCTCAATTTCTCTAAGGCATATTTGAGACATTCCTGGGTTTTTTCATTAATTGTATTTTTTACTTGCATGGACATCTGTTGTCAACCTCACACTATGCATAGAGGACAGAAAGTTGACTACTTCAAAGTCAAGGGATTTTATAAAGGAATCTTATGCTGTACAGAAATGCTACTAAATTTGAATGTAATCATTTCATTCACTCTTTATTTAATCTTACTAATAAAAGCCTGGGTGGTCCTCATGCTGTCACGCCATGATGCCTTCACGCCATCACAAGATGGCTGCATGCACAGCAGAGGCGAGTCCTGGCAGCTGCTCCATGCAACTTCTGCCGGGGTTCCCACGGCCCTGCGTCCACCGTGGAGGCAGGACCCCTGGCTCTGGCCTACCTCTTTGGAGGAATCCATCGAGGAGCCCCAGATGGGTGGGCAGGGCCTACCTCTTTGGAGCGATCGATTGCAGGGCTCCTGCACTGTGAGAGGGCACAGGCCAGGCTGGGGGACCTCCTCCCCCGGGTGCACGAATTTTGTGCACTGGGCCTCTAGTAGATATATAATGCACATAACATTATACAACATAATAAGAAGTTGAAGAGATGTCTGATCAGTTAATTAGGAAAATATAACATGTTCCTTGATTAGTATGATTCATTGAGGTGACAAGTTGTGGGAAGTGAAATGCTTAAGTAATAATACAAGGCCTAATGTAATTAAATGTTAAATGAACAACACGGATGCAAATTGATATTGTACTTTAGCCCATTTTTTATGCTTTACTCAGCAGTGCACTCCTGGCAATAACAAATTAGACCTGCCATCTAGTTGACACTTGGAAGTTTGATTTGTTTTATGTGTCACTTCATTGACATGGAGTGTGGGGAGGATTCTGTGTCACTGTGAATAGTCATCATCTATAACAGGTGGGAAAAGGCATGAGTAGAGCAGAGAGGAATCACAGCTAAGTATTGTACATGAATACTTTCCCCAGCGTAATTGTTAAGTTTGATATAATATCAACAGGTATCTTTTTAAATTGAAAGAACTCTAAACAAAAATTATTTTTCTATTGTGTTTAGTGTAGGTAGACATGAAGAAAATATATCATTTTCAGTATGTGATTGTTTTCACATGCAAATTATTCTACAATACTTAACAGGCCAACAAGGCAACCTGAAGTTTTTAACATTTTTTTATAATGGAATGGTTAAGTGTAGGGGATTCTACAATGAAAGGGGCATTCAATAAACTTAGCTCTTCAGTTATTTGGGATGTCTAAACCAGGAGATTCCTTAAGTAGTGTGAAATATTGAATTATATGTTTCCTGCTGACTTTGATTAAGAAATTCAAAGAAGTATTCCCATAGAATACTTTATCACAGCATATTTTAGTACTTTACTTGAGAATCTTGGCATTCATTTTGACTAATTTTCTGCTGTCATTAATACAAAATCTATTCGTGTTTAATTATTCGGCACTATCCCTCAAGAATTTACATTTCAACACAGATACTTTCAATTGACTGCCTATAATAATTCAAGTTCATATTTATGCATTTTTATTTAACTGGAATTATCAAGACCCCCACAGATCTTGATTGCTAAAGCAGCCAAAATTTCTGTCATCACCATAAGTATTTTCTATAATGCATGAAGTATAATAACTGCATTATGACACTTTTCTACACATTCTTCACATTTTTACCAATTCATTGCTAACGAACATCTCAAACCATAAAATCCTCAGTGTTGAATATCAAAGGGTATGCTTTGTGAAAAATCTAATAAGCTTGATCCCAAGTACTGTCTTAGTTTTCATTAGATTTTAAAGACCCCATGAGTTAAATAGCCATTAACTTAATCCTTAGACAGAAATATCAAATTGTTATTGAGTCTATTGTGTGGCTTTGGCAAACATATTCCGCTACTTTTTTGTGAAGAATATTTGTTGATTGTTCCAGAAAAGAAATGCATTTCTTCAGGGTGTCCTGAGCCTGAATTCAAGAGTACCTGTCATAGATAAGATCACAGAGACAAAGCTTTATAAAAAGGTGGGGTTGGCCCATAGCTGAGTGTCACCTGTGTTACAGGATACGATTCCCACGCTGCATAGGTTTAATGCAAGTTTATAAAACTCAAGTGAAAATATTTAGGTGAAATGATCTAAGACTCTCAGTCCTTCATTCCTCCTGTACCTCAGATTTTGCCACTGTACCAAGTTCTATCAGCTATCCTAGATATTTGAATTCACAAATTTCAGCCTCTTAAAAAATGACCTATTTACTTTCATTTTAATATGCAAGTGACTATGTGTGTTTGAAGGAATAAGTCTCATGCAATTGGTAAAATTTTGCCAAGGACATTGTCCACTAAGTTATTCAGTGTCCACTACAAATGATTTTATTTCAGAAACTTCTAGAAGGAAAAGCAAGAAAAAACTGGTTTCTCCTGCAGAAATAGTGCTTTTATGTTTTCTCATCACGAGGACTCGGTGTAACCTTGTATGTTCACTTTTGTGCCTTGCCTCCAAGAAGTTCAGAGTCAAAGTCTTTCTAAGGTCCCTATTTCCCTTTTGCTGAATTTATTTTAGTGTGCATGTGTCTATTTTAGGGAAAAAGTGAGATGTGAATTCTAAAAACAAATATGTAAATAATCTAATTATGGCAACACCATACTTTCATACTATCTTCTAAATTCTTGTCCTTAGTATTTCTTTTTAATTGTGTCCTATAATACCCATTTCCGTAATTTTGATATCTGATCTCTTGATCTTACAGTTCTTTCATCAGAAAATAAATATTTAATGCTTAGGAATAGTACATTTTTAAGAGAATTTGACTAATTACATCATTTGCTTCTATTCATCTAATGCAGCCCCAAAGTAGAGGGATCAGAATTTGCTTTTAATTCACAGCTTCCCTGATATCAGAAGCATTGCAAAAGCTACAGTGACAGTTGCTATTCCTTCTTTAGCAAATAGAGATATTATAAAAAATTAATTAGAGTGCTTCTTTAAACTAAATTTTTGATCAGAAATAGACCCAGTCCTTCATACAAGAGTTTGATTAAAAACTTTATAAACCTCTATAGCCAGTATTATTTAGAGTGTTGCTCC